TACATACATATATACATACATATATACATACATACATACATACATACAATTTTTCATCCCAGCCCCGCCCACTTCGATGCAACCCTGCCCATATTTTAGATATGGTGCTTGACCTCTCAACCTCAAAAGATCTTTTTCCCTCGATGATAAACGTTTTCAGACAGGGTTATGAATTTTTGATCTCGGTCACGATCACGTCAGTGCCGGCTTCGCCTGCTTTAGAGATTTGACCGCCTTTCTCCGTTAGCATCTGACTACCTTTTTTCCGCGGTGTAGAATGTTTTTAAACGACTTCAATTTAGTTTTCAGAAGTATCTTTTATCCGGATGCACGCCCACCGTAGTCGTAGCTTCACTAAGGTTGCGCATACTCAGCGAGTATTAGGTCTCGGTCACTCCCTTTGTTTTTTTCTTGCCTCCACGCCCCCGTGCAACAGAGCTGCCGAGGTGTCTGAAAAAGACCGCCCATTTTGAGAATGCCCCGCCCACAGCAGGTGGCTCTCCTTCATCTTGCTTGTTGACCCCTTTCTCACCTTTGTTCATTTTTTCCGGTGAATTTGCTCAATGTAAGTGTATTTCACAACTCGTGAATATCGCGTCTCTGGACGTGTATCGAGTTTTGTTTCAAATTGGTAAACAGCTCACAGTTTCTAGCTATCTTCGCTCTAGAAACAGGTTCCAGAAAGGGGGTGTGGCCATGGCCCGGTAGGTCGTCCCTTTCTTCGATCTCTATAAGTTTTAAATTACGCTGGGGCCAGGCGTAAATATCGACGAATTACTATTAGACGCAGATTCTTGAGTGACTGAGCCAGTCCTACTGCGACTAAATTCAAGATAAGTCATTGGGCATTCTTCTACTGTGTGCGTCTAGGGGCTAGTAGGGGAAAGTCCTCCTTTTCGGAAGAATTTTCTCAGGAACCGTTTTGCCAATTGTGAAGATAATATTAATTTGAGTATTCGACTTTCAGGTCCTGACAAGCCTAATGAAGTTGTTCACTTTTGGGAAGCTTCTTACCAATAAAACACAAATCGAAATATTCATGAATGTTAGCGCTTTGTTGTATCATTTGTCATCACTTATCTATCACCTTCACCGCACCTATCACTTACATGAATCAGTAACAAAAATTGGTCCAAGGGCTTTTATGGAAAGGAAATCTTGTCCTGCAAAAATGGTGACGTCAGCGAGGAGCAAACCTTCATCATTGGCCTGGAGAGAGAACACTCCCACTGAGTCATGGGTTCCCTTGTGACCATTACGGGCACCTGCACATCAGCTGGCACTATCTCTCAATGCTTTGAGCATGCAAACTTTGAGCACAACTTTTTTGGTAGACTCATTCAGTCGTTCTAATTTCCAAATTGCTTAATACCTTTTCATCACCTATCGACATACCTAGGTCTCTATTCTAAGTTTCATGAGAATTTGGAACCCTTCCCTGCTTAGAGCTGTGTTTTAGAGCAAACTTGGAGTCGTAAGTCGTGAGGCGCTTGATTTTGCCGGCAAACCCTTATTTCTCTTCGTTCAGGCATGCTTAGTATTACACAATGAGTTATTTCACTTCAATTTGAATGAGAAATGTGTGCCCTGATATCATTTTGTTTCGCTTTTCATCTACAACACAAGTTATTCTCTCAGGTAATCTCGAAAGATGACCATAATTGGTGGCAAGCCAGATTCGTGTCTCGTTTCCCTTCTCTTGGAACATCTTGTCTACTGTCTAGCAATATAGCTGGCCTAATTCCTTCTCCAGAGCTGCAGGAATGGAGGACTGCATGTCTCGCGATGGAGCGGGCTAAGGATAACTGTGAGTGAATATGTATTAATAGGAAACGTGGTTTAAGTCGCATGTCATGGGCACTTCATTGAACCCATAAGCTTTACTTCGATTATTTTAAGTTGTTCTCGAAAATCTTTCCTGCTGTATCACGATCAGTACAAGATGTACGCTTTTTAAGCGCACTGTATGTGGTTCGCCAAGAGAAAGAAGTATTATTCAACAAAATATCTCCAGAAACATTCAGCACTTTTCGATCAGCTAGATCTCGTCACCTATGAAGAGGTACACGCATTAGTATTGTTTTGAAGAGTAAGACACTCGGTTCACTTTGGGAACGGTTTCTTCTAGAGTGAAGATTCGAAAACATATTATTCTTTAGGGTAACTGGTGCTGACTCGTTTTGTTGAGTGAGAGTCGCTATTAATTGGCTATGTTTGACTGGAGTGTCACTCTTTCTTTCACTACTATAATTCGTGCTACAATACACTTCACTTTGTCCTTCATGCTTCTTATGATGACATCATGCTCTGGGAAGGATTCTTACTATATAAAGTGCTCGCGTCTGTGTGTCTGTCTGTCTGCCACGGAATTCGGCATTACATGAAGAAACTCCTGAAGTGGTCGGGTTAAGTTTTGAATGGGATGAGCTCAGAGCAACTGCAATAGAGCCCAGCAATGCTCCGCCTCTAAAGGGCAGAACATGCGCAGGGGCTTAGCGGTGCCCTGGGAAAATCTCCTTATGTCGACATTGTAACATTCCAGACGTCGGGAAAAAAGCAAAGATGAGGGTTGGGCCAACAAATGAAGTGAAGGAGACTCAATACCAATGAGCGGAGCATTCTCGCAGTGGGTGGTAGTCTCCATACAGGTTCACAACCCAACTTGAAGGAGGCGTGGAAGCTAGGAAAAAAAAACTCGAAGGAAGCGTGGAAGCTGGGAAAAAAACAAAAGGAAGAGCAATGCCTTGTGCGCCTAGGCATGATAAACTTAGCGAAGTTCTGCCCACTGTGGATGGGCGTGCGTCAAAATGGAGGCTTCTTATTGGAAATCGATATGCTTTGTTCGGAAACGTTCTGATTCGGTAAAAAAAGTGCTCGATTTCGTATAAGAAACGTGATCAAATTTCTAAAGTGGGCGGTGTTTGCACAGAGGTGGACGTGGCTACGATCAAAAATTCATAACCCTGTTCATAAACGTTCTAGATTGCGGGAAAAAGTGGTTAGAGGTTATACATAGAAGGGATGTGCCCAAATTCTTGGCTCGGGCCAAGTTTGCACATGGTTGGGCAGGGCTAAGATTAAAGATCCATAACTCTGTTCAAAGCCTTTCTAGAGTGCGAATTTGATGGTTAGGGGCAGTTCAAAGAAGGGTGGCCAAATTTTCACAATAGACGGAGTCTGTACCGAGGTGGACGGGGCTATGACTGACCACTTATTGTTCGCTCAATGTAATGTATCGAGCGGATGCCCTAAAAACGGTTTGAGCGTTCAAATCTTAAGAGAACTATCTCAATCTGATACATCAAACATTATGCTGGATGATCCATAGTAGATTGGCCGTAATGCAGATAAAATACACGCGGTAGCGGACTGACAACAAAATACGTTCACAAACAGAACGGATAATTGGAGCATGACTTGTTTTAGAGGTTTTGAGCTCTTTGAAAACTTAGGAAATGCCAAGAAAGGTTGAGTATGTTGTTGAAGGCGTCATTGGTGAGACCTTGACAAAAAAAGTTGGAAAGTAGAACAAATCACTTTGCAAAGGTACAGGAAAGTGTTGAGAGAAAATGACTTCCGAGTGAAAATTGCAACAGCTGAGCATCATCTCACTAAGTTCGAACATTGGTACTCGATAAACTGTTGATTAACTATTATAGGTTGGTACTCGATGAACTGTTGATTGCTTATTATAGTTATTGTTGGTGGCAAAAGTATGCCCTCTGGGAATTGTTGAAAAGATTTGAACATCCGAAAGAGTGGTCAAATCGACATGCTTTTGACTGTAACACTATAACTATAACTAACTGACTATAACAGGTCGGATCGCCCTGCTGAAACCTGGTTTTCCTCCTTCTTGTGACGTAGTTGTGATAATCAGCTAACCGGCCACTTCCTCCGTAGAACAAATGGTACTTGTCCGTACGGAATTTGGCACAGATCTAACAGGGCAGTGGAAGTGATATTCAGTATGTGCCGATGCTTAGGCCTATGATTAAAAGTTTTGATCTATTGTTCATCATCTTGAAAATGATTTCCCATTGAAGATCCAACTGTTAAACAATGAGCCTTGAATGGCGAATGATAGCCCTGGATGAAATATAGCCGAGTGATAATAACACAGTTATAAATGTACATAAACGATGTCATTAGCAATGAAACATTTTCTCTATATATTCACCTGTATTACCTGTCGTCCATTGGTCGATCGTCGATTTCCTCGAGCGAGCGTCAGTAGCGTCTTCATTCGCACCTGTCGCCAGCAAGAGTGGTGCAGTGAATTGTCCTCGCTTCAAGGACACGAGGCCCAGCATTCCTTTCATTCAGAACTTTCGCGAAGAAATTTGACCATCTCATTGGCGGCCGTCCTGTTGGTCGCTTTTCGTCCCGAGGGATCCAGTCAGTAACCGCCCTGGTCCAACGGTCTTCATTATATCACATAACGCTTCCGGCCCACAGACTCTTCGACTCCTTGGCGTAATCAACGGCATCCCAGATCTTCGTCCGACGGAGCTTGGAACTCCGGATTCCCTTTTGCACTTGCGTGCATAAGGAAATTCCGAGCATCGTCCTTTCCAAAGCTCGCTGAGTAACGCTGACAGCATGCTCATCCTGCTTTCGTAGAGTCCAAGTTTCCGAGTCGTACGTCAAAGCAGGAAGGACAGCAGTGTTGAAAAGGTCAGTGACGGATGTTCTTTGTCTTCTTCTCTACTCCCTCTATATTCTTAAACGCTTCTCACGTGGCGCGTTTCCTTCTGCTCAGCCCCGGAGCTAAGACGTTCATCATGTTAACTTCCCGACCGAGATACACGTAGCTTGAGCATTCAGAGATATTCGTTCCGTTCAGCGTGAAAGAAGCATCAAGAATCATTCCGTTTCTCATGTACGTCGTCTTTGTTAGGTTCAGTTGTAGGCCGATCTTTTCACAAGCACTGTCAAACTCGGATAGCATTTGTTCCGCCTGCTCGACGTTCGGTGTTACAAGCACGATGTCGTCTGCAAAGCTGGGATGATGTAGGTAGCGGCCGTCGACCATCGCTCTCATGCCTTCCCATTCCATATTACGCATGATAATCTCGAGAGTGACACTGGGAAGTTCGGGCGGAATGGTACCGCCCTGTCGAACCCCTCATCTTTACCTTGATGATGACTTCTTCATAGATTGGCGAGAACCTGGTCTTGAAGTTGTTGTGGAGCTCGCGAAGCATCTTAAAAATGAGTAGGATCACAATGGTTGCCATGGGTTCCAATTACCGCTTCTGTCTCGACGGCGTCAACCCTGCTTCAAATCGATGAACGTAATACATAAATGCATTTTGTTCACTCGCTATAGTTCCCTGAGTTTTATATGAATGTGGATATGATCGATTGCACTGAACCCTCTCCGAAACCCTGCTTGCTCGCATGGCTGTCCTTCATCTGATATTCTGCCAATCCTGTTTAGGAAGACGCGTGTGAAAAGCTTGTAGATTACAGACAGCAGGTAGACTGGACGATGATTGTCAAAATCGCCTGGATCACTCTTTTTATGCAGCAACACAGTCTTGCTAGTTTTCCACGAAGTGGGCACTTTGCATTCCGACAGGCACCGCATGAAGAGCCTAGTCAGGGTTTTGACGATAAGGGGTGCAAAACTCATCGGACGTTCTGATGCGATTCTATCGGGACAATTTTTCATCGGCGTGATGGCACGTCGAGTCTCGGAAGGGATAACCGATGGGGCCATGTATACATCCTGCCTAAGATGGTGAGCAGGCAGGTAGACGTGGCTGTCGAAAAGATCGAGTAGAAGTCGCAGGTGACTTTTTCCATTGACCTCTGAGATACATAACTGTTTTGTCAGGACGAGGAGGTCATCTTTATCTTGTAATTGGCGAGGCTCCGTCGAGCATTGCGAACGCTCTTCCCAGCCTCGATGGATTCGTCCTAATGCTGCTCTTCTCCCTTTCAGGTCTTCCTTCATCGCTTCTCTGCATAACTTCGCAAGTTCGGATGTTTGTTGACGATTGCCTGTAGTTCGCGCGATTCTGCGTGGGCGTATCATTTCGAGAGTCTTCGAAGAGGCTCCTCTCCTGGCTACTTGTACGACTCTCTGCTTTCCTAGCATAATCGTGAACATGTTCGACGAGCCGATTGTACTCTTCATCGATGTTGTCGATAACGGAATCTTCCCATTTACTCGCAAGGGGAGCGAAGTGGTCCTAGTTGGTGAACGTCTTGGAGCTTCGTTCTCTGAACTTTATAGTTCACTCTCGACCCACTGAGAAGCAGAATATAACGCGGAGGTATCAATGGTCTGATCTATATAGAACTACGCAGCAACAGCGACATCAGTCAGGCGAAACCTCCGATTAAAGACGATGACGACATAGTCCATTTCATTATGGAACTGTCCACTGGGTGACTCCCATGTCCATCGCCCATGAGAGGCCTTCTGGAACTGCGTGTTACCATTGATGGTGTGTGTCGACATGATAGACTCAGACAGCCTTTCACTGTGCTCCTTCCATTCCATTCCGTTAGTTTCGATATGGAGCTGTTCGGTCGTTCTTCTGGGGGCAATCTTGGCGTTGAAATCACCGGCGATGACCTTGAAGGAAGTGTGGTCTTCTCTGTAGAGCCCCTTCACATCTATATAAAACGCTTCCAGTTCTTCTTGTTCGTAGTTAGATGTTGGTGCGTAGGCAACGAAGATTGTTAGAGCTGGGGTTGAGCCACATCTTCTCAATTGCAAACGTCCAAATCGGATTGTCAAGCTTTCGTACGAACCGATGCTCATGGCCAAGTGCGTGTTGTCGAGGGCACCTACGCCGCCAACGCCTCTACTGTCGCACGTTCCAAGGATCAGTTCTTCTCCACTCTACAGCGTGTAGCGGGCGATGCCTTCTCGTCTCGGTCAGTCCGATGACGTCGTGCTTGATCTTCCTAGCTTGCATCATCAGGTCTCCTATACACGCTTCCGATGCAAGCGTATGTGCGTTGGAAGCACAGATCGCCATCTAGTCCTTCTCCGTTGAGGCGCCTTTTTCCTGAGATTTTGGCAGCCTCTGCCGAGTGGTATTGCCCCCCCAACGCTGCCGTATCGGGGACCCCCTCAGCTTCAGAGAAATGAGGCTCATTTTTATTACTGTTTTTGACGAGTGAATACTCAACGTGTAGCTTACCAGGCTCTAACGTGAGGGTGGGTTGGCGCCGGGGGCTAGCCAGGCTATACCATGGAGTGGACGAAAGGCTTCGTTTTTGGAGGCGGCCCCAAATCGCCTCCCAGATACTTCCCAGTCACTCGAATGCGAGCTTTTGGCTGAGTGATGGGCAGGCTACCAACAGCACCCACAGACCCTCCGAACGCGTCTACGCGGATAGCTTGCAAGAAACAGAAACATCGACCAGCACAGCAGAATCAGAGTGTCCACTCCTGAATCCACCAGCGTCTCTAGGCAAGTACTGGCGACTTTTGGTCGGCGATTTATTAGGTCGTGAAGAAAGTTCTTGCGGTTTTGCGCCTTAAAGTTCAAATGCATATATCTCGGCTTGAACGAAACTTCATCAATCAGCAACCATTACAATCGACACACTTTTGTTAACGAAAAACAAGTTCGAGTATTCCATTCGCATAGAAGTCCGGAAATCTAGAGGTGATGAAATCGTCGAATGCCGCAGCAGCATCATGTTGGGTTGTGAAGCATTTCTCCTTGAAAAAGCCGTCGAGATGTTAAAAGAAATGGTAGTCTGGGAGCAAGGGCTGGGGAATATGGTGGATGCGGGAGAGCTTCATAGCCTAGCTCCATCAATTTTCTCAGGGTAAGTTGTGCGACGTGAGGCCGAGCGTTGTCGTGGAGTAGAATTGGCCCCCTCCTATTCACCAGTGCCGGGCTCATGAGCTGGAGTTTTCGATGCATTTCGTCAATTTCTTGGCAGAACTTTTCGGCTGTTACGGTTTCTCCCGCATCCATGAAGCTGTGGTGAATCAGCCCGACTGCAGACCACCAAACAGCACCATCCTATCCAGCTTCTTCTACTTCCCGATCTCCTGCATGTAGATGCCAACCGTCCTGCTGGAAACACTCAATCTTGAACCAATATCCTTAAGCGTTGTACGTGGATTCTCTTCCACTAACGCTCTCAATTGTTCGTTGCCAATGGCCGATGGCCGCCCACTGCGCTCATCATCTTCCAGGCTCTCATCACCGGTACGAAATTTTTCAAACCACCACTGTGCTGTGCGTTGATTCATGGTACCTAGATCTAAGAAATCGTTGATATTCCGGTCCGTTTCCGTCGCACTCCTGCCCAATTTGGATTGGAAAAGAAAAATCATGCGGATCTGTCGTTTGTCCATGCTGTTTTCGACCTTCTAAAAAGCCCCAGGAATCACTCCAGGGCAAAAACGATTATATATTTGGATAGAGCAAGAAATGAGCTTCAGAATGGTATAAAACTTGCAAAAAATCTAATAGCAAATAACATCGCGGCGAGCATCTAAAAATTGGGCGTCAAAAACCGCAAAAACTTTCTTCACGACCTAATACTTCCCTTTCTGCCGCCTGGAGACGCTCTACCTAGTCTCGTCGGTAACCGGCTGGGATCCTTCAGTGAGAGAGAACCTCAATGTGAAGGGGATCTGTAGTTTGTCTATATATTATTGGTTGATTATTCCAGATTACTGAAGGTCAGATAAATTTTGTCAAATCATCGCAACAAAGGGAAACCGCGTTCCTTCATTGATTCAGGAACCTTGCTTAGTAGCGATCGTAAATCAGTAACGAGAAATAAACCGAAAATCATCTCCTTACAATACAGGTAGAGCCTCAATCGGTCCTTATCACTGCCCTCATCCGTCTTACCCAGCACTGCACTCACTCATCGGATGAAACATTTCAAAAAGTTGAGGCTGTATTATAAATACCAAAAGCGATGGGATTCATCTGGCTAGTGGATCTCGAACTATGAGGCCCGTTATCAGCTTTTATCTATTGTTATCAGTTACTGTCTAAGAGTACCTATGACCCTGTCACATCCTACATCACGTATCGAAATGCCAAGGTTCCACTGTTAACACGAAGACTACGACAGACCTCGTGGCTATCGTAGTCTTATCAGATGTATCAGTCCGTATCACCAATCACTCGTTATCTAACCCTAACTTTTGTTATGAAATCCGATCATCAAGCATCTACGGTGCCTTCTTTAATCACAACCCCTAGTGAAGTGCCAAAGCTTCACGGTTAACACGGAGAAGGTGACAGACCCAGCGGCTCTTGCCTCCTGCCCTATCAGTTCCTATCAATGCTATCACTCCCTACCATCTACCATCGGTGTTCCGAACTTTTCGCTCATGCCGCCTTCAAGTTTGAACGTTTCACGTCCACGGGACGGAGTTATAATTTCCCGCTAAAACTTATTTCGCGCAAACCCTTCTCTTGTGGGCGGTTTCTGGTCATGCCATTCACCATTCAGGTTCCCATGATGCCGCCTGTGCTCCTACCATATTTCAACGCTCTTGGCCCACGAGAACAGGAGCTATGAATTTCCTGTCGGACACAGACATACGTACACATACACATACAAATACACACACCCCTACATATACACATACACACATGGAAACGGACTAGCGGGTGATATACAGTAGGATGATATTCGTATGGGCCAACTGTGCAGCGCTAGAAAAAACGTTAACATTTGAGTAAATTGTAACGGCAAGCTATTGGTTCCTGAATTGAGTGGATTAAGATCAATATCGAAATCGTTTCCCCTCGTTTTTCTTCCGAGTATAAGTGAATCGGAGAATAGCAATACAGCAATCAATCACAATGCACCTTGCTAGTGTCTCGAAGATAAACCAACTACAAGTCCGCAGAAGCACTGAGATGAGCGTGACGGTAGTTTGACTTCTTTAATCTAACTAAGAATCTGATGAGCTGATTTGGGGGTGAAATTACTGGATTTTTTCGATATTTGAGTTGCTTTATAAGGTTTACTGCAAAATCCGTGTATAGCCGAAAAAGTGTGAACAGCGGGTGGGTGTACAGGGGAGAATGGCAGTAGGAACGGGTTTGTGTAATCGATCCGCCGCATGCGGCTGTCGCAGACCATTTGCCTCGTTCTAATAGTTATAGCCTTCTTCATACAGCTCAATCGTTACTCGATTATTACTTTAGGCATGATTCTACTGATATTATTTTGTTCCTTTATTCCTTACTTGATGCTGCATTCTGCCCCACTTCTTCGCGCGTGGCGTCCCTCTCGCCGCGACGCGACAATTTCGTTCCTACTGCGCCACACCCGGTGTACAGCAGTTTGAGGATCCACTACAGTATCTGTATATATTTGTTTCAGTATGCACAACTTTATAGACTATTAATAAACAGTCCGGTTGTCCGGCCCAGGCTTCCCTCCTCTTTTTCACAGAGCTGAACGCAAGCCTGATCCTTTATTCCTCTCTTTGAAACAAATGATTGATTTCTGCCACACTTTTCGAAGGAAAATTTCCTCAATAAAGGCCATTACAAATTTTAAATGGGCGCATGCACTGATTGCCTACGATCAAAAGATCTCCATCTGTACTCTTGGTCTCGAGGAAAAGCATCCAATAGGAATTCAATACCTTCCTTTATTGCCTTTCCTGGCGCTCGATTTCTGTGCTAGTGACAATGAAATGTTATTAGGTGGCAATGGTCATTTGAGGTGCGTTGAAAATCGCTGTAGGGGTTTTCGGAAGCTGATCTCAAATCTGCGTTCCAAGTCTGCGAAATTATTCTGGGAACAAAATTACGGAAGTCACTATGTGCTAAACCGTGAAACGAGCCGGGTAGGATGGTGGATTCGTAGGCGTGACCTGACGGTTGGTGTCCTTAATGCGAGTGCTTGCTTTGCTTTTTCATAAAATGTGTCTTAAACGCTTGCAAAACGTTTTTACTGTTGATATTGACTACTTGCAGACCTCCCTCACATCCAAGGGATTCGGGAGAGGGTAACCCGAGAAGTTTTTTCACTGCAACCAACCTAGTAAAAATTCTATACCCTAAAAATTCGTTAGGACAACACGAAGTTTTTGGCTCCATGCTTTTTCGGAAAGGAGCGGTCGAATGACTCATCTGTTCGGAGCCCTATTCGGAAATAAAACTGTCCGTACCGTTTTCAAGCAGTACTCCTAATTCGGAGGCCGGAAATGTGCCGATGTAAGTTAGGAAACATCGGAAAGAAAGAGCATTTAACATTGACATTTAGGAAAGAATACTGCTGGAATGATAGGTGATAAATCCAGGTACACTTAGGATAATCCAGTAGTAAGCCTTTCTTGAGGTGAACATGGTGATGCGATGACCTCGACCAGAAACTCGAAATCACCTACAACTTGCTCTGTGATTTTCCTCTATGGATCCCTCTTTGCTGTTTTCTGAGCCAATCAGTTGAAATTGCTGTCGAGCAATGAGAAGATTTTTATACCATTTCAGGATGACTTCTTTCAACTCTCCACTAGCCTTCAATATCCGACAAATCGATCCACTTGTGTTGCACCTAGTAGTTACACAACATTAGAAACCATTACCTGTCGAAAATGCGCTAATTTGAAAGGACATGGTTTCTCTTTTTTTCAAGCATTTTCCATGGGTTATATCTGGTTGTTAAGAAATAAAATTTGCTTTACAGACGTAAGAGTAGAGTAGGAACTTTGTAAGGTTGTAAGTGTTGGGGCAGGCCAAATGTTCTATACCTTCCTCATAAAATGAACTACAGTATATTTGTGTTTACTGTAAGAGTGATAGTACATCATGATCACATAAACACATTGCCCATATAAACTCTCATGAGTATGGTCGCATTCACTTTTGTCTCGTCCCATGCCTTCGAATAAAGCTTCCACTCAACACGACAAGGACATAACAAATGGCGATCAGGAGTTCCCGATCTACGCCAGTACATCGACGGAAGGAAGAACTCCAATCAACGACCTGCTACAAACGGTAGCAACACAGCAGAAACTACTGGTCGATCTCCTGCAGAAGATGTCGACGCCAACGGTTACTCAGCAAGAATCCCAGTTCGACCGATTGGCAAGAAGAATCGACAAATTTTCATACGACCCAGACCAAGGCGACTGCTTCAATTTGTGGTATAATCGACACAAGGATATATTCGGCATCGATTGCGAAGGAATGGAAGAGAAAACGAAAATGCGATTGCTCGTCTCCGCCTTGGATGCCGTGAGTCATACTAGATCTTCTCGGTTCATTCTTCCAAAAGAGCCTAGCGAGCTAAACTGGCCAAAAACGCTCGACGCTCTGAAAACATTTTTTGGAACCAAGAAAGTCTTTCACCATCGTTTTGAATGTTTCCGAATGAACTTTTCACCCAATGAAGACATCGACAACTTCGTCAATTCGCTGAAAGCCCGCGCACCTTAGAGGCCAATTTCAAGGGCATCAGACATGAAATCTTAGAATGTCTCGCTCTAGTGTTTGCCTTCCAAGCACCGGAACTGGCCGATTACCGGGTTCGTTTTCTGCGCAGATTAGACGAAGATGAAAAGATCACCATTGACGACTCAGCTAAGGAATATCACGCCTGGAAGTCCGTCAAGGACGATTCCAAAATAGTCGAAGTTTTCAATTCACCTGAAGTTCGTGCAGTTCGAAAGAAAAAGAGGCACCACCAATCTCGTACAGCCAAAGCTAGATCCCCGCCATCACCATGCCCAATTTGTCAGCAGAATCATTGAAAGAAACACTGTTCACAAAACCGTCATGCTACCAGTGCTACTAGCAGTCAAAGGCTACATCGCAACGCCGCATCAAACAATCGTCTCCACGCACTTGGTACCAACGTCTCATCGGTCGTACTGCAGATGAACAAAAGTATCTGAAAGTTCACATCAACGGACATCCTATCCGTCCCCAATTGGACACGGGTGCCGACGTCACCATCATCTCTCGTCCAACCTGGATGCAACTTGGAGGTCCGCAGCTACAGAAGACATCTGACACACTCAGAGGAGCCAACGGTTTGCCACTACGAATCTACGGAAAGTTTGATGCCGCTTTTGTGGTCGTTGACAACCGAGGAAAAGCTCATCCCGGACAAGGTGTATGTTATGTCTCTGATGACAACGATCTGCTCGGAATCACCCGGATTGAGCAAATTCCGGATTTTAACTTGGTCCTGAGGAGATTCGACATCCGGGAGGTCCAGACGCTTAACCAAGACGCGCTCCGAGACCAGACGATCACAAAGCTGAGACGTGATTTCGCGAGTGTCTTCGAACATGAAGCTCTACTGAAGAAAATAGTTTCGTTTGAGTGGAACTCTTAATGTGAGACTGCCTTCGGACGCGCCAAAGAAGTTCTCACATTAGACCTGCTACTGACCCATCATGATCCGAAGCTACCCATCATCGTCGCAGCCGATGCATCAGACTACGGAATTGGAGCTGTCATTTCTCACCGCTATCCCGATGGAATAGAGAAAACTGTTTATCATGCTAGTCGTTCGCTCACCGATGCAGAAAAGAACTACGGACAAATAGAAAAGGATGGTCTTGCACTCCTTTATGCGGTTCGAAAATTTCATCGATACATCTACGGACACCACTTCATCCTCCTCACAGACCACAAACCACTCTTAGCCAAATTCGGATCGAAGAAAGGAGTATCTGCCTACTCCGCAAACCGTCTACAGCGCTGGAGACTCGCACTACTTGCTTATCATTCCGACATAGAAAACCGTTAACCGCATACGAACCCTTCGGACAAGCAGACGCACTCTCCCGTCTCATCGCCACTCATTCACCACCGGAAGAAGATGTCATAATAGCGAAAATCGCTCGCGACATAAACGCCATCTTTCACGAAAACGTCAAACGCTCACCGGTCACAGCCAAAGATGTTGCCCGCGCTACAGCTGAAGACGACACTCTACGACAAGTACTCGACCACATCGCCCACAACAATTGGCCAAAGAAACCATCATCGGCAATCGCTAGTTACGCTCACTTGCGAAACGATTTGTCGACTCAGCAAGGATGTCTACTCTTCGGAAGCCGTATCATCATTCCCAGGTCCCTTCAGCCACAGAGCCTGAAAATACTTCATGAAGGACATCCAGGAATTAACAGAATGGAATCCCTAGCCCGCAGCTACGTATTCTGTACGAGGATCAACGAAGACTTGGAAAATTGGTTCGCACCTGTACCGATTGTCAAGAAGCCGCCAAGTCACCAGTCAAAAACACGCTCTGCTCGTGGCCCCGCCCAAACTCACCATGGACTCGATCCACATAGACGTTGCCGGTCCGCATGGAGTCGTAATCGTCGACGCCTTCTCTAAATGGCCGCAAGTCATTCCAATGACATCCACGACCACTACCCTGAGAGAGCTCAACCGCCTCTTCGCCTAGTTCGGATTCCCTCACGTCATTGTTTCCGATAATGGAACTCGATTCACTTCGGCCGAGTTCCAGAATTTATGCCGTCACAGAGGAATCGAACACGTCCGATCACCCCCGTTCCATCCCCAATCCAATGGGCAAGTCGAACGATTCGTGGACACCTTCAAGTGATCGCTTCTGAAGATGAAGAATCACAGTCCAACCCTTGATGCCCTCCATGCCTTCTGTTCACCTACAGAAACACACCCTGCACCGCATCCCCTAGCGGACGCTGTCCTGCAGAAAACTTCCTCGGAAGACGCCTACGTAACGCACTAGATCTGTTGGAACCTAGTGAACCTGCAGAAACTTTGAGAAACTACCAAATGGAAGCTCAGTTCAACCGCCGACACGTAGCTGAACCTAGAAGATTCATGCCAAATGATCTAGTATATGCACGAGTCTTCCGTTCCAATCAACGCACATGGATTCCACGACGCATTATACGCCGCCATGGACGCGCTCTCTACGATGTGTCTATTCTAGGAGCCATATGGAAACGGCACATAAATCAACTAATCCCACGTGTTTCGCAGGGAGCAGTACCTGAACTGAACAACGCTTTGGATGTGCCATTGGAACCGTCACTGGATACACCTACCGTGACATCACTGACTTCAGTGGATACCGCTGCTGCTCCAACGGCAACAGTTACAGCAAGATCACTACAGCCGACGTCGCCTACTTCCGGATAACGTCGATCTATCCGCATTCGACGTCCTGATTTCCTCCAGATTGACCCTTACGCCAAGTCGTACCGCGGACGTCAATTTTAGAGGGAGGTGTGGGGGCAGGCCGAATGCACTATACCTTAATCATAAAATGAACTACAGTATATTTGTGTTTACTGTAAGAGTGATAGTACATCATGATCACATAAACACGTTGCCTATATAAACTCTCATGAGTATGGTCGCATTCACTTTCTCAACACAACAAGGACATAACAGTAGGTTTCTCTATCTGTGTCATGAAATTGAAGCGCATCGGCGAAATTACAGAGTTGGAGGCTACCTTTTGCTTTGAAGCCTCAATAATGCCAAGGAGGTACGAGGTTCCCTCAAGTGATCTGATGAGTCTGTCGCCTTGTTATTATCCAGGGAAGATTATTGGAATCATCATTAACGGTCAAGTCTTTCTCGTAGTCGACGACAAGGTTGTCGTACATAGCATCAAAAGATACATACCGGAAATTCCTCCTCAGCTTCGTTTACTCCTGGATGATACCGAAGTCATGTCGCAGGGATCAAAGTTCTCTAATAAACAGGTAACTGAACCGCCTTCGTGCAGGAAAGCTCGCTAATGAAACGTTGAAGAGCTTTTTGATCCAACCGACAATGTAACACCCCTCTCCCTGCAGCTCCGGAAACCCACGATGAGCAAAAATTTCGCAATTCTTCTTCACCAGTTGGCCTACGCATGCTAACGCGTGCACCTTATACTCACTATCGCTTACCTACGACTTGTTAGAGTACCAACAATAGTGTCGGTTGACTTCCCATTTCATAACTGTTTCCTCAACGCGCTCACGTGATATTTACATCCACATCGTGCCTACGTGACTTTCGGAGGGACAAACAGACAGACATACAGACAAAAGGACGTTTGCGGTTTATATATAGTAGGATTGCTTGAATTGAGCTGCACCTCTATTCCTCCTGAAATACGTTTCAGTGTTCACAAAAGTTTAGAGTCCTGCAGATAGCCAATCTGGAGCGTAAAATCGTTTTGAAAACATTTAGTACACAATTCATGACAAGCAAAACAAGCGATTGCATCAAAGATTTGAATTTTTATGTCATGCCTGTGGGTTCTCCGTCTTAACAGCCGCTCCGCCGTTACACTGCACTGCCCGGTGCGCTTATCTCTTCAATACAAAGGTATACCACAAGGTGGAGAAGAGTTCCGTAACTTTGTTGCCAGATTTTTTTTTACAGATTTTAAACGTAGATTTGAGATCAGCGTTCGGAAACGTCTACATTGATATCTATACCTCTTGTATGGGCGGAGGTGGTGTAGTGGCAAGTGGCGCACTATATCACACGCACGGTCAGGGGTTCGAATCCCGGATCGATGTCCGCCTAGGCCAACCAAGCCTTCCATCCCTCCGGGGTCGGTGAATTGGTACCAGACTCGTCTGGGAGGATAAAAGCACTGACTTGTACATCGGCTGGCCACCGCAAGTCATTGTATAGGCCACATACGCACTCATTACGCCACTACGATTCTGAATGGAAGTCGAGTGCGGGGGCGCATCCCTCAGACGGGATTGATTAACGCCAAAAAACTTTATCCTTATCCTTTATCCTCTTGTATGGACACTGCGACCTAGCATTCTACCCTTGTTAGCATCCTGATCAGTCGCTCAGAATATTGAACGACACTTACTAATGTTGTCGGACGATAATAGCACTATTAACTAACTATTGGGTAACTATTGGGTAACTATTGGGTTGTCCGAAAAGTTCCCGCCGATTTTTGGTTCATCTTTGAGTGAAAATTCCTAGAAGAAAAAATCCATTGATTGCACAATATATCCTCCATTCTACGGTTCCAGACTTGAAATCGAAAAACCCACTCCGGTGCTTTTTGCAGTCCTCCAGCGAATTGAACGATTTCCCAATCAGGGAATTTTGCAGAAACCCGAACAAGTGATATTCTGATGGTGCTATGTGTGGACTATATGGGGGGTGTGGTAAGACATCCCACCCGAGCTTTAGCAACTTTTGACGAGTGGTCAAAAATACGTGTGGTCTGGAGGTACCCTGTTGGAAGATTACGCCCTCACAATTAGCCACTTCGGGTCGCTTTTGTCCGTCGCTGCCTCCATATTTTCTAGCTGACCATTGTAACTTTCCTAAATCGTCTTTCAATTGTGCGACAACAGCTCATGGTATGTGATTTCCCTGAAATCCCATCAGCAACTCGGCATAGTCTTCCGCAACTGCATTTTGACTTTTGCAGCGGTTTGTGACGGCTCCCTAGGGGGCTCCACGATCGTTTCCGGTCCTCATTGCTGTACACAATCCGATTTTCGTCCCTCGTGCTCATGCGTTTCAGAAACTGCTCATTTTTATTCCGTTCGAGCAACGAGTCGCACATGGATGCGCGGTCCACCGCATTGCGCTCGCTCCTTTCGCGAGATATCTAAACATCAAGGCGCTTTACAAAACCAAGCGTCTGCAGATGACCATGAATGGTTAATTTTGAAACACTGAGCCCTTGTCCTTCTTCACGAGCAGTGATGTGCCAATTTGCTTCGGTTAACATTTTGAGTTGATCGTTTAAGCTGATGATAGTCTCCCTAAGGGTTGCCGGTCTTCGAAGGCAAATTCACTCTGTTTGGATTCCGCAAACTAGTCATGCACTGTACATTCCTCTAGAGCATGGTCTACCCAAACGTCATATATCTTTTATGCGGCTTGAGCCGCATTCTAGGCCCTGCGGTAGAAGAAATACTTCAGATGTCGAAAATGGGCGCAGTGGTTCTCCATTTTCATTCGAGTCCTGTACAGAGAAACTTTGACAAATGTTGACAGAATCCCAACAGGAATGTAGAGGAGGGTCTACTCTTTCAGAAAACATATAACTTTATTAGGTTGGGTCCTTGATCTTTTGTAAGACGGTTGAAAAATCCGGGGTGTCAAAAATCGGCGGAAACTTTTCGGACAACCCAATATTTTAGCGGTTTTTACATTTGAAAGCTCGCGATCACCCCCATCGATTGCTACTACTCCATTTCACAAACCACTTATGGTCCCTTGACCACACATCCCACGAAAGTGCCAGCGTTCCACTGATAACACGTGGTGGTAGTGGGTATTGCTTTTCACGGCTCCTTGTCAGTCGCTATCAACTGTTACGCGTAGCTGGAAGACGGAGGAATGAATGTTTTATCATACAGCACCAGCTTATATGTAGGTATCGATGCGGAGAGCAGATTTCGTCGCGCTGGTTTTCAGTTGTGGATAATAATTGTTTCAGGATCATTCGATTTGACGAGCCACTTCGTTTAAGATCTCCTTCGGTCTGCTGGCCCGAGGTTCCGAACGAATTTTTCGTAACGGGCTAAGTTATCAAGCCTCAGTTCTGCTGTCTCATTACTATGGACTAAGGACCACTGTCTTGCGGAGAGACCCCCCAACCAGATTAACACGGAAAAGCAACCTTAAGGCCTCGCAATAAAATGCCTCAGCAATAATTTTTTCATTTGTCTCGGCGTGCTAATCTATCTGCTTATATCACCGCTGTTCTTGTTCCAAGCTTTCAATCTTGTTCTTTTGTGATGCATTTCTCTTTTTCCTTGCTCATCGAACAACTGCGACTTATTAGGTTGTGTACAAAGTCTTCCGCCACGAATTTGATCGTTCTGCATTTCGTTTATAAAAGTGTTGGTATTACGTCATCTCGTGTACGTGACGTATACATATTACTCCATCACCTCACTAGTTAGTGCTTTACTACCGTGCGTTTGCCGGCCACAATGACGCACAACCATCACCGCGACAAAATGTACCTTGGGCATTGCCTACTTATGTTCAAAAAAAAAGAGGAAATTCAAAAAATTCAAAAAGGGAGATTTTACTTTCGAAGATGCTCCAAGGTCGGGTCGGCCGAGGGAGTTAGATTTGGATAATTTGCGTTCCACGGTGGAGGAGGATCCCTACCTTACCACTAGGGGATTAGGAGCCAGGCTTGGCTTCGCTTTTAAAACTATTGCAAATGGACTGGAAAAGCTCGGCAAGACATCAAAGCTTGGTCGATGGACCCCACATGAATTGTCCGATTATGACCTCTCGAGGAGGAGGGTTATCACCTGCACTTCTCTCCTCACTCTCCAAAAGAAGCGCCACTTTCTGAACTCGCTGATTACTGGAGATGATAAATGGGTCCTCTACGA